GTTCTGGAGCCGGAACCATGGCTGTTGGGACCAGAACTGGGGCTGAAACCATGGCTGCTGGGGCCAGAACTGGAGCCGGAACCATGGCTGTGTGGGCCGGTACTGGAGCCCAAAGCATGGCTGTGTGGGCCGGTTCTGGAGCCGGAACCATGGCTGCTGGGGCCTGTACTGGAGCCCAAAGCATGGCTTCTGGGGCTCGGGCTGCTAGCCTGGACTTGCGACTCCTTCTCTTAGGAGCTTTTTGGAGGCTCCGTGGACCTCCAAAAGCCAGACGAGTGCCCGAGAACGGCTCCTGGACAGGAGCAGGAAATGGGGAAGAAGCAGGGGTTGACTCCAGATGGAACACACCGAGATGTATGGTGTCAGGTTGGGAGTTGGGAGGCAGGGGGCTAGCATGCCTGGGGCTAGCAGGCCGGGAATCACACGTCGAAAGGAAATCCAAAATCCAGTCAGGTAAGAACTTAACTAAAGATGGATCCACTGTTGCCACCTGGTGAGCCTCTGCCAGAGCAGCCTCTTTCTGCTGAACACTGGACGCTCCCCTCCACCTACCATAGCAGCAAGCCAAGGAAAAGGTAACATTTTGTAAATCCACCTCAAATGGATCTGCTGGGCCCATTTCTGGTTGGTTCCTTCTGTCAGGGTTGAGTGCAGCAGGCAGGACCCAAATGCAGATTTCCAAGAATATTCCTTTAATCCAAGGTAACAAAGTAGACAACAGAACACTACCCTGTGACACAGTCAAAGACAAACAAGGAACCAACAATGACAGACAGAAAAACCAGAACTAAAATACACACAAGACCAATCACACAAACAAGACACAGGTGAGGAGGGAGGAGAAAACACAGGGGCACCAGGTGAACACAATCGGGCAATCAGGCAGGAGGGAACACAGAGACAGGAAGCAACAGGCAAGACGGGGGTGAACACTTTTCAAAACAAAACAGGAAACCAAAGACAGAAAAAGACAAGACAAAACACAACACAGACAGATCGTGACAACAACATTGTGTTTTATGGTGAGGGATCTGTCGCCATGGCAACGGCATATGATGACATCCCATAATCGGTGTAGAGCTGTTGAGGGCCGGACCATTAACTGTCATCTGAAGTCTGATGCAGTTTGGACCATTTTCCATTGGCTTAAGACAACATTGTGTTTTACGGCGAGGGATGCGTTGCCATGGAAACGGCATACGGTGAGATCTCAGATTTCACGTAGAGCTGTTGAGGCATGGACCGGTGATATAAAAGTGAAGATTGGTGGACGATGGGACCGTGTCCATTGGAGTTACAGCAACACCGTGTTTTATGGCGAGGGATTCGTTGCCATGGTAACACCATATTAAGTAACATAACATTTGACGTAGAGCTGTTCAGGGCCGCAGTGTTAACCATCATGTGAAGTTTGGTGGCGTTGTGAGCATGTCAGTTTGAGTTATGACATCATCGTGTTCCATGGCGTTTGATGGGCCTAGCATCGAGCGAACGCGAACTTTGGCGCCAAATCACGGCTGCGCCGTGCAAAAGAAAAAAACTTCCGTGATAACTTTGAATTGCCCATATCTGGAGATGCTACCCGACGAATTTCGAGTCGTACGGATAAAGTCCCTGGGAGAAGATAGATTTTGCGCGGAGGACGAGAAACGCGATAAATCGCGTTTTTTCGACGCCAAATTCAAAATGGCCGACTTCCTGTACGTTATTTGTTACCCCTCCAAGAGGCTTTTTTGTTCGTCTCCGCACCCTAGATATGCATAGCGAGTTTCATTCGTTTACGTGAAAGTTAAAGTGGGGGGAGTTTACGTTAAAAACGGAAGTGGGCGTGGCCTACGCAATTTTTTACGCAAAGTTCCGGAACCAATTACATATCGCAAGTTGCACCACTTCTGACGCGCGTGCAACATTTGGTGAGTTTTCACATGTGTTGCGGGGGTCAAAGGTTTATCGGTCGCTGCGCGACCGATTTCAATAGGGTCTTCGCCGACCTAGGTCTCAGACCCTAATTAAAGCTGCAAGCAGCGTTGAGCGGGTCTTCGACGCTCCGCAGGCTGTTGTCCGCACGTCGAGGTGTGTTTGTAGGTGTCTCGAGGACTCGGCCGTTGGCAAACGTGGGAAGTTTCAGGCCGATCGGACAACGTACATACATACGTACGAGTTGTAGCAGTATCATAAACATTGTGTTTGATGGCGAGTGATCTGTCGCCATGGCAACGGCATTTGATGACACCACATAATACGCCTAGATGTGTTGAGGGCTGCATCGTTATCAAACCTGTGAAGTTTTGGGCCGTTTAGAGCATGTTAACTGGAGTTATGAGAAAACCGTGTTTCACGGCGACCATTTTGTTACCATAGCAACGACATTTGACGAAATCTCAAAACTGACACATATGTGTCGAGGGCTTGACTGTTAGAACACATGTGAAATGTGAACACTTTTTTACCATTTACACAGGACTTATAGAAATATCGTGCTTAACGGCGAGGGATGCGTTGCCATGGTAACAGCTTTTGAGGAAAACTCACTATTGTCATATTGAGGTGTTGAGGGCCGGACCATTAACTGTCATCTGAAGTCTGGTGTAGTTTGGACCATTTTCCATTACTTAAGACAACATTGTGTTTTATGGCGAAGGATGCGTTGCCATGGCAACAGCTTTTGAGGAAAACTCACTTTTGTCATATTGAGGTGTTGAGGGCCGGACCATTAACTGTCATCTGAAGTCTGGTGTAGTTTGGACCATTTTCCATTGACTTAAGACAACATTGTGTTTTATGGCGAGGGATACGCATCCCTCGCCATAAAACACAATGTTGTCTTAAGTCAATGGAAAATGGTTCAAACTGCACCACACTTCATATGATGGCTACTAGTCCGGCCCTCAACAGCTCTATGCCAATTATGGGATGTCATCATATGCCGTTGCCATGGCAACGCATCCCTCGCCATAAAACACAATATATGCCATGGAGACGGTATACGGTGAGATCTCAGATTTCACGTAGAGCTGTTGAGGCATGGACCGGTGATATAAAAGTGAAGATTGGGGGACGATGGGACCGTGTCCATTGGAGTTACAGCGACACCGTGTTTTATGGCGAGGGATTCGTTGCCATGGTAACACCATATTAAGTAACATCAAATTTGACCTAGAGCTGTTCAGGGCCGCAGTGTTAACCATCATGTGAAGTTTGGTGGCGTTCTGAGTATGTCAGTTGGCGTTATGACATCATCGTGTTCCATGGCGAGGGATGGCCTAGCATCGAGCGAACGCGAACTTTGGCGCCAAATCACGGCTACGCCGTGCGAAAGAAAAAAACTTCCGTGATAACTTTGAATTGCCCATGTCTCGAGACGCTACCCGACGAATTTCGAGTCGTACGGATAAAGTCCCTGGGAGAAGATAGATTTCGTGCGGAGGACGAAAAACGCGATAAATCGCGTTTTCAAAATGGCCGGCTTCCTGTACGTTATTTTATACCCCTCCAAGAGGCTTTTTGGTTTGTCTCCGCACCCTAGATATGCGTAGCGAGTTTCGTTCGTTTACGTGAAAGTTAAAGTGGGGGGAGTTCACGTTAAAAACGGAAGTGGGCGTGGCCTACGCAATTTTTGATGCAAAGTTCCGGAACCAATTACACATCTCAAGTTGCACCACTTCTGACGCGCGTGCAAAATTTGGTGAGTTTTCACATATGTTGCGGGGGTCAAAGGTTTATCGGTCGCTGCGCGACCAATTTCAATAGGGTCTTCGCCGACCTAGGTCTCAGACCCTAATAATCGGACCAATATCTACGCCCACGTCACTGTAGTCGCGTGGGCTACCTACTGTCATGATTTAGGCCACTTTTAATGGGCTTTTGCCCCTATTTTTCCCTGTTTTTTGTGGGTTTTGCATGGTTATCGCTCGCTTTGCGAGCGACTAAATTGATCGTAACGATATTAATTATGCGAGTTGCAGTCACGTGGGCGTACTATCTGCCGTCACTATTTCCGAACCTTTTCTGTGCTTTTGCCGGTCGTTTTCCCTGTTTTTGGGTGTTTTTCGCAGGTTTATCGGTCGCTGTGCGACCGATTGCAATAGGGTCTTCGCCGACCTAGGTCTCAGACCCTAATAAACCACAATCTAATATCTAATAGTAGCCTAGTATGTATCCATTTACGTGACCCTGTAACCCTCCATGTTTTATTTAGACTATGCATAACATACAGTAGGCCTACAGAGCCATCACAGTTTAAAACCAAATGTTTTCCGTAACGTTTTTTAATCTTCATCTGTAATTATTCTCAGTTTATCAATCCGAAACTCATTTTTTTTAAAACACTGTTTTAGGAGGAACCAACTTTCCTAACTAGTTTTTCCATTACCTTGTGCACCTTTCATTTGCACCATGTGATGGGAGAGATCACATGATCACAGTAGAGATGAACGTTTCTTTACCTGCACTATCCTGCTGTGAATAAAAAGTAACCCAAAGCAGACTTGACTGACACTGTGGGACTTCCACTGCCCCTAGGATGATAGATAACTAAATTGGCTCCTGTAGCTCTGGCTAAATGTGTATTATTCCATTATATCTGTCCTGTTCTTTTCTCTGTTGTCTGCTGCTGCCCTTTATCTGTTCTTTTGTGTTCCTCCTCCTCCTCATCGCTCTATTATCTGTCCATCTAACTCAGGGGAAGGAACTGACCCTTACCTTACTCCTGGCTTCACTAATCTACTAATTGTGTTGAGTGTGTGTGTGCGTGTGTGTGCGTGCGTGTGCGTGTGCGTGTGCGTGTGCGTGTGCGTGTGCGTGTGCGTGTGTGTGTGTGTGTGTGTGTGTATTCATCGTGCCTCTGCTAATCATCTCCATGGACCAAGTGCCATTATGTTTATTGTTGCTAATATCAGCATGACTCTGTCGTAGCAGAGCCGGTCTAAAATAGCTGCAGCAACACAACTATAAAACCCCTCTTAATACTCACCCCACACACCCTAGCTGACCAGTTGGCAGGTCGAACGAGCTGTACTCTTTCCATGAGGGATTAGAATCTAACAAAGGAAAAGTTCTGAACAAGTCAAACGTCAAAGGGAAGATTTTCCAGAGGTTAACAGAAAAGTAGCAATAACAAGTGAGTAAAAGAAAGGTTTGTTGCTGTTGAACTATTCAAACATTTGGATTCCTTTATTTCTCACAATAATGTTTTTAATACTTTGTATTTACCCTAAACCATTGAAATGCAACAAAATGCACTTTGTGTGATTCGACAAAAAACATAATGAGTATTAAATTAGATTGAGAACAAGATGATTTGTAGCCCCAAGGTACATTTTCTTTCAGCACAAAACACCAGAAAACAAGAGAAAAACTATTTAAAAGTTGACAATCATACCAAATAAGGATGTAAACAAATTGCATGGACTCATTTATTAATAATCACTAACTTTGCAAAAACTAATGTTGCAACATTATACCCAGTTAAGCTGAACAGTGATATGTTATTCATACATAACCTTTGAGCTAGAGTTCCATATTTTACTGTTCTCAGTTGTTTTTATATGAATTAGTGTGTAAAATAAAAGTATGGATGTCTGGATGTGAAAAGAACTTCAAATGTTGCTATATCCTTAATTTAGAAGCAATACACATGGTGTACATTTCTGCCTATACATTTAATCTGATCTCTTTTATCCAGACGGTCATCCAGAAAGGATTGGAGGTGGGTTTGGTTGGAGACAGCAGGGATGTGCAGTGCGGCTGGTGCAGATAGAGCGGAGCTGGAGTGCAGCGTCCTGGAAGAGGACTGGCAGAGAGGACAGAGATACATGGCTCACTGGCACAGCTTCACCATCGTGCCACAGCATCAGCAGAGGTTACTGACAATCTTCTCCACATCAACAGTTTCACACAGTTTAACTGGCATGTTTGTGACTATAATAAACTAACATGCTGTGAAAGAAATATAGATGTTATAAACAAAATCTCTTCCAGGCCAATCGTGATGGAGGCAGAACGCTCAGCAAAACACGGGGAGGCCAAGAGGCTCCTCCAGCGGTTCCTTTCTGGTGCCATGGGGCCGAAGTTGCAACAAGCTCATGTCATGTGCAAGCAAAGGAGCAAAGAGCTCTGTTTGAGAGGCAAATGAGAGGAAGACTGTTGGAAAGATGAAAACATGTTCAATATTTTAACAAAGTATTATAGTATACTACTGTATTATTGTTTTCAGTTTGAAGAATTACTATGTATTCTTGTTGTAGTATAATTTGTTTTGTTGGCTGAATTATGTCATTTAAAAATAATCAATATGTTACATTTTTTGGTGATGTGAAAGGAAATGAGTTGTTACTGTTACACAGAGATTTCACTTTATAATGACAGTAGAATTTCCTTATATGTATGTCAAGATTAGCATAAGCATAGATTTTGTTATAGCAATGTGTACAGTTGAAGAAATTATGAGATTGAAAATAAATCTTCCATGTATTTAATATGGACTCGAATGGACTTTTCTGTTAATCTCAACATTAATGAATACATTTTAGGATTTCAACAGCTAAGTACTCTTCATATATTAGTTAAACTAAAATATATTATATGCGTACGTTTTTAAATGTAGGCTGCTTCATTATTTCTATATGCAAATAGAAATGATCCCAGCTTTTATAATCAAATTCCTGTCCAAAAACATAAACACTGACTGTTTGCAGAGACAGAGGTGTGGCCAAAGGGATTTTAGCATTCTTTGCATTTGCATTCCCCTGGAAAAAGAACTCTCGACCCCCTTTACCCAGTCTGACTCTAGTTGTAATCTCCAAATATTCTAATTAAAAATAGATCCCCGTGCAGAAATCCACATCCAAAATATCTCATCTCCCTTGGACATTGTAATATTTTGGTTGTCTGAGGAGGGTCAGGGTGTGTGTGTCTTTGTTTATGTGTGTGTGCATTCTTGATTCTGGTTCAGCTGCCAGGGATGAGCGAGGTGTTAAGATACTCCTGGGAAGAATACGTTTTATTTCTACATGGCTCCATTCCACATTGGTTCAGCTGCTGCTGCGGGATATGCTAGGAATAGACGGAAAATTAATTCAATCAGGGGATGAAGCTCACTGTTGAGTCAGCTGGCCACTGTGGCTAGTGGTTTAAAAATTCACAAAGTAATTTTAATTGAGTGATACAAAAAAATGGTCCCATTCCTTGTTACAGAAAAAAACATAATACTGAACATCTACTGTGAAGTAAGAAGATTTTCTATAAACCTAAACTTTAAATGTGTCTCTACTTACAAAATAAATAAATGCTGACCAATTAAATACATGTTAAATCCCCAAAAGGTTCTGCAACTCTATTTGTCAAGGTTTTCTATAAAATATTTTGCATCCTTCCTCTAACAAATTGCTACTTGTTGATTAACTTAGTGAAACCTTTTTTATTTTGGAATATATTGACACAAAATAATAACAGCTTCCACAAAAACCTCTCATTTTAAAATCATCTACTTTCACCTGTCAACATGAGACTGTTCCTCTCCTTTGCTCCTACTACCATTCCCCATCTCTCTGCCACTCTGTAATGAACATCATCAAAGTCAAATGGCAAAAAGGACATGGAGACAGATCTGTTTGTGTCTTTCAAACAGGGTTGCCTGAGATGAAACTGGTCTATCTTTTGCACGTTAAAGGCCCTTAGAGTGATTGTGGAGATATGGCGGGCCTCTGAAAGGTGGGTGGAAGACCTGGAAGCCATGTGAGGAGTCCATTAGTGGCTCTAGTGTTGGAGGAAGCCCCCCTGATCTGATGGTATCAGCGCCTCAGGGCGGGGAACTTGAACAAAACAAATGCTATCAGGCAGCAACACGGGCCCAAAAACAGGATCTCTATCTCTGCCCATGATACTCAGAGTAGCCCAAAGCATTGACACACATCAAATGACACAGAGAACACTCACAAACACAGAATATATAAGGAGGCTGAATGTGGTAGAGGTGCACCTAAAGGCTGATCACTAAACGGACGTGATAGAGTCACAAAGGAAACACAAGGATGGAAGGAAAGGGAAAAGTGAATGGAGTAGCAGCCATGGCAGCCTGCTACCAGGGATTTGATCCTGCTGCGTATCTGCAGTATAACTACACTCCACCACGGGCTGATTTTGAGAGAAAGGATAGCATTGTGCCGTGGAAACTGGCATGCCTGCACAGAGCCTTCACTGAAGGTAAGGAGACGGGGTGATGGGATTATGAAATATCGAAACACACAAAATGGAGATCAACATATTGGCTGATTTAAAAATGCTATGATAAATGTAAGCTACTGGTGTATTTTAAAAGAGGTGTACTAATAAAACAATACAAATAAAATATGTTAAGTTTCACAACAATACCTTCTGTATAAATACAGATTGTATAGGTTACTTAACACATGTTCGAGATGCTGACTTTTTTTGAGTACAAACAATAACTTTATATTCTGAATGTATTGTCATAAAATAACTTTTCCAGATAAAACCTGGCACATAATTGTTGATTTGAGTGCTTGGAGTGATTTCTAAATAAGAGACTGTAATCAAGTATTGTTTTAGTAAAGAAATCATGATCAGTTTACCTCTTTTAAATATCTAGGTGATGTGAGAGGTGAGCTGCTGGTGGACATAGGTTCAGGTCCCACTCTGTACCAGGTGCTGAGCGGCTGTGAGGTTTTCAACAAGGTGCTCCTCACAGACTTCCTGGAGGTCAACAGGCAGGAGCTGAGGGGCTGGCTGGAGGACGAGGGAGGCTGCAACCTGGACTGGACGCCCTACCTGCAGCACGTCTGTGAGCTGGAGGGACGACGGTACAACCAAACACCTTTTCACCCTGTTCGAAGGCTCAAGGTTTCTAGGAATATCTCTCACCAAGAAATATAGTTTTTAGACTAGTTTGATCATCAGGCAAGGACTTAAGTGTACAGTCCTTGGGAGAGAGAAAAAGTTATCTTTATAGTGAAACATTAATAATGAGAATCAATTGATTTTTTTTACAAAGATTAATAGCATTATTATTTTCTTCAATTTGTCTTTGCTTGTGCCAAAGATGAATCAGTCTGCTTCCTCAGGGTCACAAGATTTGTTTTCAATAAGCAATAATTCATCTGTGTACTGTGACTACTGTAACAATAATACAAGTACAACGTACAGCTGAGAGTGAGGAGAATATCCTTTGTGTAGGATATATCAATGGGATTTTACCTGGTTAAATAAAGGCTACAAACAAACAAACCTGATGATAATGCTTGATGAAAGGTCAGGGGATTACCAAACAGATTATAATTCATCCTGATGGAGACATGAATGTGTGCACCAGATGCAATGGCCATCCATCCAACAATTCTATTTCACCACACGGTGGCACTGTAGAAAAAATATGTTGTCCCCTCAAAGTCAGAAGTAGGATTCATGATTTAGAAACTATGAACATTTTGTACACAATCATCACGTAGATATTTAACCGGAAAAGTAAATGGTTTGAATTTTAGTTGCCATTCGATGAAAAGTCAAGAGAAAATGGTTAGGGTTCATCCTCCAGGGACCGTGAATGTCCAATGTACAAAATTACCTGTCAAATATTCAGTTCTGCAGAATAAATGGTATTAATGATGCTACATAACTAATGCTGTATTGTACATCTGCATTTACAATAGCCGTTTTTATCTAATCATTGATATTGTCTCTAGGCCCTCAGCCTGGACGGAGAAGGCTGCTAAACTACGTCAGGTCATTACCGACATCGTCCCAGTTGACGTGCACCGCCCTCAGCCTCTGGCCCTCGACGCCCTCCCTTCAGAAGGGGCTGACTGTCTGGTGTCCTGCTTCTGTCTGGAGAGCGTCAGCCCCGACCTGGCTGCCTTCACCCGGGCCCTGGGCCACATCGGGAGGCTCCTCCGCACCGGGGGTCATCTCCTGCTCATCGGTGCCCTGGGAGAGAGTTACTATTTTGGGGGGCCTGGGGTGAGGATCCCTGTGGTCCCACTGAACGAGGCCCAGGTCTGTGCCAGTTTGAAGGAGAGCGGCTACACCCTGATCAGGCTGGAGGTCTACACACTGCCTCAGGACATGAGGGTGGGAGTGGATGACGTGTCTGGGGTGTTTTTTGTAAAGGCAATCAAGGAGTAAAAGTAAGAGAAAGGAAAATGGATAAACAGTAGTAAAAGTGAGAGGAAGAATCCAGATAAAAATATTATAGATTTAACCTGTAAATGTATAATTTAGCACAGCAGATTATTTAAATAAAAATGGGGATATCAGTGATGCTATTAATAATACAAACACATCTTTTAACTTTGGTATGGGGTGAGGGAAAAACATTCAAAGACAACAACATGTGAATGAATCATTTTGATTCCTTCTATTTTATTTCATTGGTCCATAAAACGTCTTTTCTGAGGGTGAATAAGCAGGAGACATTCCCTTTGGTTGCTCCCAGTTAGAAATGTAACTAATTACACATTGCCTCCTGCAGTTCAAACACAGCAACTACAGCATTGAGAATAATATGCGTACATCTTGTTTGAAACAAATCACCTGTTGACATAACATAGCATTTTCCACGCTGTTTATAAACTGTATATTTTGATATACTTCTATCTCGATATACTTCTATTTCGATTAACTATTAATGAATTGCCTGTCGTGTTTGTAATTTGTGATATGTGAATAAAGACTCTAAAGCAGTTCTTATTTCATGATGTTTTCTTATCTCAGACTGACAGCATTATATTAATGTAAACTTTAAGTCAGCAGCCCAATGTTTTAATCTTAATATTTGCTATGGTATCAACTTTAATTGTTAAATCATGTGATAAAAATGATCAAATTTAGATCTTCATCCCAGAATATATTTTTGAAATTATAAGAAGTTAACATGAGTTGCTTCTGATATATCAGCAATACACCAAAAATGTGTTATGTTTCACAGATTTTTCTAATAAAAAAGTAAAATAAATGTGTGAATAATGATAATAAACTGTCTATTTAAACAGTAACCTTGGTTAAGAACTTAGTCTAAATTGTCTCATTGACTCTATTTGGTTACTGAAAAGCCAAAAAAGGCCTTTTGTCTTTCTTTTCTTAGAAAATAAATATGATTGTACATTCATACAGAATCCTTTTAAACACCCATTGTAATTTATTGATTAGCAACAAACACAAACACAATTTATTTACAAGGTCAGAATTAACCTTCATGCTCATCAGAGTTTCTGAAAAAATAGGTTTAATTTTGGTTCCCACCAATCATCTCTGACATCCCAAACGGATCATGCCTCCTAATCTCTGTGTTACAAAAAGCCTGTTCATAATATCAAAACGGAAAAACTGTGCTGCATTATCATGATTAGTTGGATTAGTCGGATATTATTTAGTCTGGTCTGCTGTGAGTGGCTGCGCTCAGATCGTCTGTAATCCAACCGCCTTGACCTTGCACGCAAATGTCTACAAGGTTGAAGAAAGCAAACTGAAAGAATGGTTTGGTTTTCTTTAACAATTTCTTGGTTGAATTCCAAAAAAGGGTTTGCCTTTCCAATATGACTGTGCACTGTATACTTATCACACTGTAGTATACCATGTCATTTAGTGTATAGTATATGTGTATTATGTTATGCAATAGCCTGAGGACTTCACATTCATTTGTTGAACTGTGTGACACATACTTTAAAATACCTCCCTCACCATGGCCATAAAACAGTTATGAACTGACTACATATTAAATACAATATTTCATGTTTGTCAAATGATCAACATATGTTGTTTATATATCTTATCTTGGGCTGTGTACATCATTCGACTTTCTAATTGCTTTTGAGGTGAGTGTTTTTAGCACCAGAATCATGTCGTACACCTGTATGATATGAATAAGGTTAATAAAAGTCTTGTACTTCACATATTTTCTGGGAATACAACCCCTCAAGACTTCTGTTGAATTCTGTTGAACCTAAAACAAAGAAAATGCTTGAGGAAATGGCCACAGTTCTTTGCAGTTCTCATATTTCCTGTGCAGTGTCCTTGGCTGAATGGAATTTTCCCCTTGCTTTCTCTGTTGCCCAAGGCCTACATTTGCCTCAAAAGTCTCAGATTTCACTTTTCTTCATACCTGCTCATTAATATTCTGACCTTCCTCAATGCGATCTGATATACTTTCTCTCTCACAGACTCAAACAACACACACCCATGCACGCACACACACGGCCCGCACGTGTGTTATCCAAGTCTGCTCCAAACTAACACATCTCATCGGTGCTCTGTTCTTTTGTCATTCTCCTTTTTCCTCCTCTTCATCACTGCGGTGAAGGCTGAGATCAGCAGTTTCTGTCAAACTGTCCAGCTGAGCACACTGATCCCTGAGTGATTGGCTTTCTTCCCTTGGATCTGACAAGAAAGGGAATTTAAAAGTATAAGGAATGACTGACTGAGTGAAATGCCAATAATAGATATAAATGTCATACTGTCCCCTACCTGTAGCTGAGGGTGACTGCTGGCTCTTCTTCTCACGTTCCTCCTCTTCCTCCCCAGAAGAGGAATCCTCTTTGTCCACTGAAGTCATGTCTAGGGAGGCCAGGTGAGCCAGGGCCATCCTCTGCACAGCTGAAAATACAAAAACTGGATGTAGAATAAAAGAGCACACAGATTTTAAACTGATGATGATGAGTTAAACCCTTGATTTGACGGATGATTATGGATGGAAGGATGGATGGATGAATTGATGGCTAGGTGGATGGAAGAGATTTTTCATGTTGAGACTCTTTTTTGCTATTTAAATCTACCATTTTTGCTGTTGCCACCTTTCTTTTGCGACAAAAACAAACTGAAAACAACATTGACATATCATCACCTTTTAAGCTAATGTGACAAACCTAACAGAAAACAGTACATTTTTAGTTGTGTTTCTGGTCATCTGGTAAATGTAGGTCAAGATGTTTTGTTTTACTCTATCTTGGTCTCTACCAACTTCAGAAAAAAACCCAATATACTTTTAAGTTGCCTTATGCACTATGTTCACCAGTTACAGTAGTTGCTAACTATGCCTGTCTACCTGTCTACCGGAAATAGGTAAAATTAGTAGAAACTCAGAGGGGATAAGCAGATTCAGGTAATATTTCATAATGGTTTCATATTAAGAATTCCAATTTAGATCTGGTCAAATGGTGTTCATGTTCAAATGCATAGACATGTTTTAAAATGCCTCATTTTCAGTAAAACGTATGTTGTAATGAATGTAAACATTTCATTCAGCAGTAATAATGTAAGGGTAAGATCAAAGTAAAACGGAAGCTAAATCGTGATACTCAGACATTCAAACTGAATAGTAGAGCTTTTGTGTTTTATATTTGTTTTATGTGTGAGACGATGTTACAACTGTGTGCCCATCCTATAATCCAGGATGATCCAGAGCAGACTCACAGCTGTCTCTGCTCCTAATCTCACATAGCACACACACACACGCACGCACGCACGCACGCACGCACGCACGCACGCACGCACGCACGCACGCACGCACGCACGCACGCACGCACACACACACGCACACACACACACACACACACACACACACACACACACACACACACACACACACACACAAACTGTTTTTTGGGATACTCACATAGTCCAAACAGACAGAGACCACATGACATTTGGACTAGCTTGAGGTCTCCAAATTATTTATCTGTCCTTTGTTATGTAAATTGAACTACATATTTGAAACACACAAATGTATTCAAAACAGTGTATTTACCTTTTAGTGAGGGTGGCTGGTAAGTTGTTGTGTGAACCAGTTTGGCTTTCAAAGCTCCATTTTCACCCAGAACCCACTGCGGAAGCATCCAAATCATGGTTTACAGATTAATGGACATACAGTTTACACAATTTATGTTTTAACGTAATCCCAGTGGAATATACCCTACTACACTACCCCAGTTTTGTAGCCTCAGATACATTCTGCAATATAGCAAAGTGATAATATTGTGAATTTTTAGCATTACAAAAAAGGGGCAGTGAGATGAGACACTGCCAGTTTTTCATGTTGTCAGTGATGCTAATGGTCTTTTCAACCAGCATTTGTGCCCTACTGACATGTAGTTATGTCTTGGATTTATTTGACTGTTTACACTGCCAATCAACTTGAAAGCCTGTTTCTGACATTTTTCCTTCATGTTACCGTCTTGCTTTGTATGTATATTTGGGTCCTCAATTGTACTGCCTCACACAAACAAGTGACCGATACAAAATTGGCTGTGAGGTGAATTTACTTTTGTTGTTCACCCACACTCGCTGTCATCCCACCTAATGCCTCCAATGCAAATATGCAACTTTTGCCAGAATGCTTTTCTACAACCCCCACAGAACCAACCTGAAGGAGCTGCATTCTCTTTGTGTACGTACTGTTAAGGAATAATTCTTTAAAAACGTTTTTTTACAGTAAAGAAGAAACTCAAAACACAAACATGTGCTAATATTGTCTTCTATACACAGTCTATGGGTCTGGTCAGATTGCTTACTCCTCTAAAATCACTGAAATGTTTTACAAACTGGTGAGTGACTCCAGCCCTTTTTCTTTGATCTGAACTTTTTTCTGTGATCTACCGGGTCGATGTCTTCCTCAGGTGATGGTGGATCGGTCAATCTGAAGAGTGTGGCTGGTGTTGGCCTCCGACGTCGAATCTTAGCAAGGAGAGAAAGAGAGAGTCCATCAATCATGCTGTCAGTGTGAATCTTTTCATATTTGCATGTGTGCAAACTCCTAACACAGTCATCCCCATTCAAAGGAACAAGGTGTGACTGATAGCAACAGGCTTTTATTCAGCCTTGGCTTAATAACTGATTAAATTAGCGTATTATTTCGCTGCATTTTCATTTAATTTGTTGTTTCTTACAACCCAATGTGTTATTTGATAATCTAGCCAAATAAAACCTTATTTGCCTTTACTGATTGTTGTTTTATGATGTTCCGCATAACCGCAGAATGTACTTTTTGTCCAACTTATCTTGTAATCATTCTGTTACTCTTCAGTAAAATTCACATGAAGCAGAGGCATAATCAAATAAAATGAACTCCACCTGTTGCAGTTATTGTAACTACTGCATCAAGATGAAAGCTGATGTTTCTTCTCAGGTCATAAACAGTAGGCAGATATTACATATAAAATACTATTTAGCAGTAATACAGATTCAATATTTAAACTAATGAACACTACAGAAATATCCTGCAAACTCACTTATTTTCCTCTTAACATTTTAAGTTCCTTTTGTGGCCATATTTCCTCCTGAAAATGTCATTTTTGACTATTTTATGATTTAATTCCAAGCTACGCCCACCTTTGATTATTCATAGTAACATAATAAACAACAATAAAACACCTCTCTCTGGCTAACAATAACTAAGAGTTGTGAAGTATACAATAGATTCATCACCCTTTCTATTTTGTTACGTGTTATGGTAATAAGATTGTTGTGAGATACAAGTGGCTGCCAAGCCAATCAGAGCTGAGAGTGTAGGCATGAAATGTGTGGGCAGCTTTCACTCTGGAGTAACTTACTTACTGCTCCACTCTATATTCATCACTCAGACACCAAAACTAAATATTCTGCCCGTTGAGGGGAGACATTTAAATCTGGATTACAAGTCATCCAATTAGATGTTAAAAATGTGTCAACAGGAAAATGAAATGCACAAACATGGGCGCTTTCACACACAAAGGAAAAACGTGTGTAGTAAAAGTACCAAACCACACGTGAAGCACCTGTCTGAGAGCCTTTTCAGACACTGTGACCTTTGCTAGGTCTTTTGTTAACATGGTTGCCAGAAGGTCAAGCACCTACAGGGAACATAGTATTTTCATCAGGTTGTTTTTGTGCATGTTTGAAATGCCTTTTAATACCTTGGTAGTGCGGTGAAGCTGTGCTACATGACTCAATTTATTCATAACTGAGTTGTTTCACATTTCTCAGCTTGTGGGGATTCAATTCTGAAGTTCCGTGAGTAAAAGTGGGTTATTTTTGCACACTAGATGTATTAGTCTTCTGCTTGAATGGGCTAAAAGTGATGATATAATTGTAACTTATAGCTTAATGTTTGTGAACCTAAATGTGCTTTGTACAACGCTTATTCCGTTTAATTTTTAAACATGAACTCAACCAGTCATCCTGTTTTTTTTTTTACACACGCAAGGCATTTTAGTTTCTCGATAACAACTGGCCTCTATAAATATCAGTGAATATGTCTGTCTCAAATACCTCAATGTCTAATAATCGAGTAATTTTAACATATAATGACCTATAAACTGACTAAGCCTTTAAACACAGAACTTTTAAAACACCTAGTGTTTAAATTGTAAGGTGCACAATGTATGCAGATATCAATGAAGGTTTTACACACCATCGTTGTGTTGTGGCAGGCTGCATGAAAATGAAAATCTAGTAAATAAACCTCAGATGTGAAATTAGGCATATTAAGTTATTCATTTTGGTGCACCCAGTCACACAACACCAATATGAGGACAGCTGGACGACACACCACACCAACTGTGCATGTCTGTTGTGTTTATTGAATGTTCTGCTCACATTTTTCTAAAGTTTTTGAGAACTATCCAGGAAAAATGTAAATGTATCAACATCTTCACTGTTAAAGAAACCATTAGAACGAGTTTTCAAGCATCAGAGACCTTGAATTCAGTGCTTGTATTGTAAATCATTAATCCCCCACCTCATTTTGGAAGGGAGGATGACCTTCACCTAACATTCAAAATGAATGCTTTAATCTTGATGTTGTTAATGCACAATAACAGCACTGTGTGTACAACATCATCATAGTAAAAACCTATCCACTCAACAATTAAGACGATGCAGTGAAAGCATAAATCCCTTGCTGTGTTCGTACAATGCTTTCAATTTATTCTGTAATTAATCCGGTGTAGAGCTTGATTTGATGTGCAAGAAAAGATAAATGAAAACCACTGTTGCCTTTTGACCTTTTGTTTTACGAGTGGGGAATTTCTAAAAAAAGATTAGAGTTGATTAAACAACATCACATCGGATTTTCAACCCATATCAATCAGGCGGGTTGACTGGAAATACAGTTTTGTTAAGGAAATTGCTTCAATAGTTGTTGTAGGTTTGGCAGGAACGTTCACAAAACTTAAACTGGACATTTCCCATAGCAAACATCTATATTTATGTGGAGTTACTTTGGTTTCCTCCATTGCAAGTGGATGTTTTTTGCAGCTATTCCAACATTATCATCTGATTACTGTATCCATTTCATTCCATAAAGATGGAAGAACATAGCCACTTTGTATATAATATAAGAATAGTGTGTTTATGCTGGGTTTGTTGTTAATATTGTGGATTTAGAGCTTCTAGCTGTGCTTCAGTTGAATGTATTATTAGCATTAGCTGTCCTTGCTCTTGGTTTGGCATCCACTGCTAATCTCTTTGGTTTTAATCAGTCATCTCCTTGGCTGATTATTGTTCACTCTTTCCTTTTCCTACATGCCTTCTGTCCTTTATCTTTATATTGTTCCTCTCTTGTTCTTCTTGTCACTTTGTTTTATTCATACATCCCCACTTGTTCTACTTATCTCTCCACATGTCAGATTTTCCATGCTACTGCTTGCCATTTCAATGCTAATGTTATGGCGGTGTTCTGGAAATGCTGCACACAAGATCTTTGCTGACCCTCACATACCACATATACACCTTCTGTTGGCCCCTTGAAACTCACACAGGTTTTTACTGTCAGTGTGCAGCAGTGTCAGCCTTTCACAAGGGCAAGAAAAGAAAAAATACCCTTGACCAAAACTCACAGGGCTGCAAGAGAAGGCTAATGATGAAAACAACAACCTTCTTGCCCCTTAAAGTGGATCTGAAGCTCATCAACTGTATACTCTTGAGCCGTAGAGCTTGGGTTAATAGCAAATAAATGAAATACTATTACTGGTTTATTACAAGACAGGTGACAAGTACATTTGTTAAAGGTCCCCTATTATACTGTTTTTCATCAATATATTATAGGTCTCAGATATATACAAAACATGTCTCTGAAGTGTTTGGCTCAAAATACCCAACAGACTATGCATTATAGCATCCCATAAACCCCTCTGTTTCAGCCCTGTTTCAAAAGTGCTGATTCTCTGTCTGTTATTTTAGATGAAAAGAAGGTGCCACTCCCATCGCCTCTCTGTGAGATATTTGGTTAAAAAGAACACAATAGGCGCTTTCACACCGGAGTACTTTTACCCGTACTTTTCCCGTTTAGTTCCGATAGTGCCTGGAATTTTGCGTTCACACCAAAAAGAGAACTTAGTTCAGAGAACTTTTACCCTCATTTGTAGTGCCTGCTAGAGAGGTGGTACTATCCTGGGGAGAAAAAATTACCAATTTCTGATTGGCTGGGCAAATTGCAAACCACGGCACGTAAAACTCTGAAAAGTTTTTTGAAGCCGCCATTGTATTTGCTGGCATTAGCATTATTAGCATTAGCATTAGCCCCGCGCACCAACGGAGAGAGAATAACTTATGGCAACACAAAAAAAAACATGGGAGCGGTGGAGTGATGAGGAGGTGTCGGCGTTCTGGCGATTTACTCGGAAGTCTTCAGTAGTTCAGTAGTAATCTTCCCTCAGGGAACTTATTCCGGTGTGAACGCGATCTGTACTTAGCGATCTGTACTTAGTTCCATGGGGGTACTAAGTGCTGGGCACTAAGTGCTGGGCACTAAGTACGGCAAAGTACTTGGTGTGAAAGCGGCTAATGGTGCTCTAGGAGGAGATTCAGGTGATAATGGGGGGGAACACAGGGAAAAATAAATGCTCCTAATCAGCTTTTGAGTACGAACCATTTCCCAAAAGCAATCACATCATGCTTACAGTTATAAAAGAGAACAGTGGTTTTAAGTACAGACAGTTTTTCAGTACAGAATAGTGAAGGCTCATCCCTCATGTCTTTAGCACAGTGGCAGCTGGGAAATAAGAAAAGGGAAGAAATTCTGAAGGCTGTCTAAATCATGGATTATAGAACTTGTTTTGCAGCTGCATGACCCCTCAGCTGGACTGTTGGTATTTTAGGCATTGAGGAAATTCCTAAAATCGCCAGCTGATTTTTCTCCACTCTGATTTTCTGCACCAGATGAGCCTGTAAGATGAGTTAGGGTCACATTGGTGGCCATAAGAAGACATATCCTAAGACGTATTATGATGTAAGAACCTTTTGCGGGCTTTACAAGAGGATGCCGCTGTGTTTTTTCCCATTAGATCAACGCTGGAGATTTGCAGTACTCTTATAAAGGTCCTAAAAGGGGAAATTGCCAGAGCTTCTTATAGGAAAACTGACTCAGCTCACAAAATGCTGTCAAGGATCATTTACGGGTTGAAATATGAAAAATTGGATAGTAATAGTTGAGGACTATGGGACGAATAGGCAACACTAGTTATGTAAAAGGTTCCCACATCCCAGTTACAAACAACCATTAGAAACTAATTAAATATAAAGTAAGAGTTGGTTTAAAACTGTTCAGAAGTAACATGCGGTTGCTGAAAAAAAGCCAATGAAAGTAGTTAAGAAAGTAGTCCAAAGCCTGAGAGACTGCAAGTTGGTCTGTAAACAACAGATGTGTGACATATATTTGAGTGCCTAATAACTGATTTATTAGTTTATTTTTACATTCCAGCCTGCAAGAAGATTTCCAAGCAGATGCACCATGAAATCTCAAAATCTTGAGAGGAAGTGAGTAAATTGCAGCTGGTCTCCAATAATATGTCCATCCAAAGAGTAGTCTTCCATTAAAACATGAATGTGTTGTCTAAAAATCTTAAGCAGAAACATATAACCCTAAAGTATGCTTGGCCATCATTTGCATGGGGGAGACTATGACCTTTATGGTCTCTCAATGCCAGATGATGCTGTCTGCAACCATATAGTGCACAGGCCAACATTATTCCGTTAACACTGCACTCCCAACATAGTTTCTGACTGACTATGTCAGCATGTTTCATCTGCATTTTCTGGAATGGTGACAAATAACTTTATTTATATACATACAAAAACACTCACCACCGTCTGTGACATGATTGACAATGTGACCTTCTATATTTTGTTTTCCCAATGTGGTGGGGGGACGATTTTATTACAAAGGCACATAATCACATTTTTAACATAACTAAAGGATGCTTTATTCATCGCGGATTCATCCACCTCCTCTGCTTCTTTTTAAGGGCAGAGATGCCTCATCACTTTTAAGGGCTCCAAAAACGGAACCTGCTCAGCTCAGCCTAATCCCAGTGCTGCCCACAGAGTATTACCCGTAAATCAAAATACAGAGTTCTGCAAAATCGTGCTAGACTGGTTATGTAACTGTCTGTCAGTGGCAGGGCTATGAGGACGTTATTTACTTTTGTTTACTCAAGACAGGATGAAAGTTAAAGCCAGCATGTTTCAGATTAAATCCCTTATTTTATCAATTTTGCCAGAAATAACCTTACAGACCAAAACTACAGATGTTTTAGGCTGCACAAAACGCAGTAGTAATCCTGACAGGTAATGCCATTTCACCCACATTTGACCTCATTTTTTCGCGCATGCACACCACAATCCATGTTGGCACACCCGCACCACCTCACGCCCGCTCTCACCATCTCCACCTGTCGCGGGTCCAGCTGTGTCGGCACGGATGAAGGCACGGAGAACTGGATCTTCCTCCTCGCATCTTTATCCGCCTCTGGCTCCATCAGCTCCGTGTCTGCGGGCAGCAGCGGCTCCATCCAGCCTGTCACCTTCGCAGCCAAACGCACAGATGTTCAACAACTAAGTCCGATTTAGCCGCCGGTCTAAATTGTATCACTTCCCAAATGACAAAAGTGCTACACAAGTCCAACCAGGAGTTGCTTCCTCCTCTTTCTCCCTCCCTCCCTCTCTTTCACACTCACTGTCCGTTTATGTCTCTCACTCCCACCGTGTGTTGTGTTGCTGTGTGTAATGTGGAGCAGAGGAGTGAGGGTGCGTGCAGCAGAGCATGCCGAGGCTTTATGACGCTTTCAGTTGCAGTGGGAAAAAAGTGGAACAAGTGCAACATCAAAAGTGGCTCAGAAATCAATTTCCCTTGAGATGGGCTGAAAATAAGACGTTTCTAAAAACTGCCAGGGTGCCTTCAATCTCACAAGTTCAACCCCTTTCTTTATGAAGATAGGCTATTAATGACACATCAGTTTCGTGAATGTATTTCAAACAAATTACTTTTTTAATTCAAAGTAAACTGACAGCTGTGGTTGCCAAGATATCACTGTTATTTATATCGGTTTACTTCCCTGCCACTACTGTTTTCCTAAGTGTGCTATAGTGATCTACATGAATGGTTTCCCACTGTATTTGTTTCAGTACACTACAGTACACTTCATATTTAATGTAAATGACAATATATCTTATAATCTAACAATGATCAGCTCAGTTATACATTTAGAAATGCCTAAAAAACACCAACACCACAAAAGAGGATTAGACTAAACAATAACCTTTGTTAAAAGGTAGCATGATTAAATGTTAAGTAATATTTTAACGTAAAAACTATCTAACAAACAAACAGTTAAAGTTCAGTGTTGGTTTTGGCTAAATGTTTTTGGATCGTATATTTATTCTTATTTAGCAAGAATTGAAAACAATTGGAAGAATAGACTGTATTTTTAAAGCAATGTATTGCAGTAATAGCCATGGGTCTGCCATATAAAATAAACTAAATAACAGCACACTTGAAATAAATGTGAACAATACCAACAACACCTACTTTATTTATTATGAAATAGCTTCTATTAAAAAAAATATGTTTACATATTGCCAATGTAGACTCAAAAATGTATCTGATCTTTCTCCAGGGCTTTATCATCTGTACTGTAAATATGTATGGAGCAGTCTGATGGGAAATGCATTGCCATGGCAACAGTCTCCCTTCAGTGTTGGCAGTCAGTAAGCGTAGAGTGCGTGCATGTGTGAGAGTGTGAGTACTTAAGAGAAAGTTGAGGCATACAAATTCATATGATAATGTATAAAAAAAGAGGGAAATATTTAGTTTGGTGCATGTAGAAAGCTATATAGTGACAACAATGTATTATTACTCTGACAGATAAATTATTATCAGACAATAATGATGTAAACACAAATAATTGCTTCATAATGTGGTAAATGTAATGTGCATTTAACGATGAGACGGAATAAAGGTGAGAGAGGAGAAAAGATTTATAGAATAAAAGGCAAGAAAAAGATAATTAGTTGCACCTTTCATGCAGATGGATTAGAGAAGGTTCACCCTGTCCTGAAGTGAACTTGAGAAAAGCTCTGGATCTCTGCCAGCTCTGGAGAGTTGCTGCTTTTTGTGAGTAAAACTTCCACCTTTGGAAATAAAATAAAAAAAAGCCCATCTGTTGTTCAGTTTACTTTGAGTACTGTTGTTCTTGAAAAAGAAAAATGCCAGTGTCTTCTCTCATTCCACCGCTAGGGGGCAGCAACCTTCTTAGAGTGGAAGAAGTATTCCATATTTTTCTGAAGCAGCCAACAAGTAGTAACACCACAGTGTACGATACTCTATTCACAAGTCAAATATATTTAAAGTACCAAAAGTGCTCATTATGAAAGAAATAGGATTTTGCAGAGAGAAACTGATGAGTTTAAATAACAATATTTATATAAAACAGAAAAAGCAGTAACATCCTACAAAGGTTGGTGTTTCCTTGGTGGCTGTAGTTTTGGAATTCTGGATCGACTTGAAGTCAAAAGATCCCCAATACGGAAGCTGTTAAAAAAAAAAAAAAAACCTGCTGAATTATCATTAAAATAATCATATAAAATGGGAGGAAAACAAAGTAAATCCTCATAAAAAGGTATGTGCCTTCTTTTCCAGTGCTGTTACACAATGGTGCAATGATTTGGAGTCATTGGGTGAGGGTCACATAATAGGGAACCTAAAAGAAAGAATAACACTTATCAATAGGGATGCATAACGAATGATATCACTATCAGTCATTATTCTCCAGACTTGCACTAACGTTTTATGACCAGTAGATGTCACCCATGCGTAATTTGAGAAAGCAAACAAACTAAATGTCTCTGTTCGTGTGCGAGCTCTTTACAATTGACTGATCATGTTTAGAGCACATTATTTCAAGGTTACATTTGAAACCAAAACCATGCAGTGATGATACCAATTTCATGATTCAGACTGAATGTTAACCTCAACTCTTCTCAACAATGTTCTTTTTAATTAAAACGAATTAAGCCAAACAACACCTCTTATAGGTTGTTGCAGTTATGGTTGGTCAAAACAACATTTGAATTATTTTGGTCCCTTAGTAGATCCAGACTTAGTTTTGGAAGGAATTGCATAATGGTATTTGACATTCAACTTGAAAACCTCTAAATTATATAGAAATCATCAAAATCATATGATTATTTTATTGGGAGACAAACCCTCATTATTGAAGTTATGTGTCCAATTTTAGCAATGACATATTGTTATATGCTTATTTTTTGTAAGTGGTGTCTTTATATTGTTTTTTACTTATTACAAAATAAATACATGTAAAAAGACAAAAGATGAGCCTTTACGTAATCAGAATTAGTAAAATATTCTGAATGTAATGAGAATTATTGTCCCTCAGATTGATAACACAGGGGCACCATGTTGGGGTGTGACCCTGTCCACAGCACTTCATCTGGACAACCATGACCAGCAATACATTGATCTAATAATATCATTCAAACGTTTTTTTTTGTTCCACTGAAAATGTGTCAGGAGCCAATAAACTGTACTCCACCACCATGGTATTGGTTCTTTTCATTCTTATTTTCTCCCTCTCTCTTGTCCTGCCCCATCTTCTGGCCCCTCTGCGCAATCTGTGCCTCTGCCACCTTTGGCACCAGCCCGCCCACCGGCACCTGTGCCAAGCCTGGCAACCCAAACCAAGACGCTGTGATTGGCTCACTTCAATTGACTCGTTTAGGCAATTGCACCCTGACTCTGATCTTTATGGCGGGTCCCATATTTATCCTTTGTGTGAAGGCAGTTTTTCTGTGTTGTAAATGTCCTGTTGTTGTTTGTTTCCTCATAACATTTCTATAGGGATCCAATTATTCCTATTGGCCTATTTGGGGTAATTCTTCTAATTGTATCATTAAAATATTCAATAATAATTTTCCCCTTAGGGCTCATGTGGATTATTTGTAGGTTTTCCTGTTCCAACCGAAATCATTATCCTATAAGTAATCCTTTAACAACCCACTATTACTAGAATGATATCATCCTAAAATATGACCAGGATTGCTGTAATTATTTCTCTAAGGGGATTGTTTTCATAAACCTTCTATATGAGATTAACCCCGTTTTTCCCAAAGATGGAGGCTAACAGAAGCTGTTTGAATCCAGTGCGTTTTTTTTGTGCCATTCACTCCTTATTCCATTTTCTCTTTCAGCTCAGTGACAGATGGCGAGTCCCTCTCCCCCAGGGGAAGCCAGTCTCTGTGAATGCGGCCGCATGTCAATCACCGACTCTCATGTGATGGCTCTTGCCAATGACGTGCCAGCCATATGGGCCTGGCATCAGAGCTGGTATGTAACCCACCCAGTCCTGCCTCTGAGGTGCCACACGGATCCCTCCACGCGTTAGGGCTGGGGATAGCAGCAGCAGCAGCAGACAGAGAGGAGAGAGAGGTGTGAGAGCAGAACACAGCGCCTCTTCTGCACAAGCATCCGTGCAGGGCGTGTGGATGTGATGCCCACCCGGAGAGACATGGTGTAAACAAACCCGCTTTGCCCCGTCACTGAGCTCCACCACGGAGGTAGGTTACACGTTTTCTATCAATATAAGGCTATCATAAACGGATCAAGATTTGTTTTGTCTTTGTGCCTGTGAGTGGGAATTAGAGTGGCACAGTAGGCTATTAATCAAAATAGAGGACTATTTTCAAATCTTTCGCATCTTTTTCTCGCATGCAATGTGATCTCGTAGCTTTTAATCTTTACTCCAGGCTGTTTTTGGATGATTTTATCGAATATATTGATCTCTATGTGTTTAATTTGATAGATCTGATTAAATAAATCTTTAAATATACAAAGATCCCTATAAGAGCTATGGTTCTCTGGCACATCATTTGTGTCGTAATACGTTAGAAGATGGGCACTGGAGACTGTATTTTATTTACATTATCGGTAAATTGTGTTGGGGTGTGGGGGTGGGTGTGTGTGTGTGTGTGTGTGTGTGTGTGTGTGTGTTCCTGCACGACACGCGTCAGAGCACTGTGGGGGTAGAATTCTCTATAGAGATACACAGGCTAATTGACAAGGTATTGGTTGGCATTAATTACATTGTGCTTACAAGATTAGAAAAAAAAGAAAGAAAACGTCCTTGGACTCCACAAGCAGCTGAGCTCAGATTACTGGAAAAATCCTTTAAGATTTTGAAATGTCACAGCTTTTATCAATGGCACTTTAATAAATGACGTGTCTGAATTATACAGTGAACCTAGAAAGGGAAACAAATCCATAGATGTAGTTTTTGAACGAATTATGATTATAAAATATCCCAATAAAACCTCCCCTTGTGACCTTTTCAAAACGGCTTTGATTAACATGGGACTTGCTTTTAAATAAAGGAAAAGAGGCGGCTCAGAGAAATAAAAAAAATAGTCCAGATCAAAAACAAAGCACACTCGGAGGGAATAAAGAATACAATCAATTAAAACGTTTTTTTCTGTGGCCTGCGTTTTCCTGAGGGTCCAAAAAAGCCTTTATGAACCTGCAAAAACTATAACCATAAAAGGTATATTTCAACAGCATTCATTACTTTCTTCCTGAAATATCTGCGATAATATTGCATACTTTCTTTTTTATTCCAGAAATATTCTCAAAGGGGGCTCTTATAAATTAAATTCCAAAGCGGATTGAATACAAACCTGTTAATTCAAAGTAAAAAAAAAAGGTTTGGGACCCTCTGGTCCAGTGTGGCCTGGCTGTGCTGGAATTCCTCCAGGTTCGTAATTTATAGGAGTGAGGAGGGACCCACACCCTTAATGCGTCCCAGGGGGGCCTGCTGCGGGCCTGCACCGCTCCCTGAGCCGTACTGCTGGAGGGCACAGACCGAGGCACAGGTGGAGGCAGAGGGGTGGTCCAGACTGTTTCTTTTATTATATTAAAACAAACAGATTGTATTTTTTAAAAGAGAAAGAAAAAACCTACCTTCTCTGGAATCGGTCCTATAAAAAACGTGAACATTAAAAAACTTGGGACAAAATTGACATAATACATAAGTCTTTAAAGATGATTTGTAATATGACCCTTTCTCCCAGGTCAGCCTTATATTAATTTACTAGATTAGTGTCCAGATAAAACAGAAAACTATATAGACCACAGTTTTTGTATTTACGGAAAAGCTATTGCAGCTCAACAATTTTCCTTGGGTGAGGGACATGTACAGTCCTTTAACAGCCCACCATGGGTGCGTAAACAGCAGCAGGGTGCAAACAGCCAGGTAAAGTTTATTCTGTGTCTCTTGCAGGTTGCTTGCCACGATGTTGAGCCGTCTGTTCAGTGAGGTCCTGCCGGACGTCCAGAGGCTCGCGGCGGACTGGGCGGAGGGCACTGAAAACGAGGACAGCAAGGACAAGGTCGGAAAGCACGAGGCCTGTGACCTCGATGATGACGACCTGGACGACCCGCTGGAGGGGAGCAGCCGAGCCGAGTCTGAGATGGCCGGCGACGACGATGATGATGATGAGGATGATGATGAAGAGGCCGAGGAAGAGGGCGACGATGAGAACAGTGAAGGCAAACCCAAGAAGCGCGGCCCAAAGAAACGTAAGATGACGCCGGCGCGCGCGGAGCGCTCCAAGGTGCGCCGAATGAAGGCAAATACGCGGGAGCGTACGCGCATGCACGATTTGAATTCTGCGCTGGACAGTCTGCGCAAAGTGGTGCCATGCTACTCCAAAACACAAAAACTGTCCAAGATAGAGACTCTGAGGCTGGCCAAGAATTATATTTTAGCCCTGGGGGAGATTTTACGCAACGGGAAACGGCCAGATGTGGTGGCCTACGTGCAGATGTTGTGCAAAGGCCTGTCCCAGCCCACTACCAACCTGGTGGCAGGCTGTCTGCAGCTCAACACCAGAAACTTCCTGACTGAGCCGTGTGCAGAGGGAGCCCGCTTCCACGTGCCCAGCTCTCCTTTCTCCGTGAATCCCTACTCCTACCGGTGTTCCCGCATCTCCAGCCCGCATTACCAGGCCGGGGGTGCAGCGCTTAACGTGCGGGGCCATTCCTACGGCTCCGGGTACGAGGCCGTGTACCCCCCAGGTGGGACGTCCCCTGAGTACAACAGCCCGGACTACGAGGCCCCGCACAGCCCGCCCGTCTGCATAAACGGTGGCCTGAGACAGCAGGAGGCTCCAGAGGCAGACAGGAACTATCATTACTCTATGCATTACTCCGGACTGACCACGTCTCGGCCCAGCCACAGCATACCATATGGGCCCTCGGGAGCGCGCAGTGGCGGTGCGCACTCAGAAAACATTCCACCTTTTCACGACGTGCACCTGCACCATGACAGGGCGCCCCCGTATGAGGATCTCAATGCTTTTTTCCATAACTGAGTCCTCCTCACAATCAGACATTGAAATGACAATCCTAACGTGTAATATTGTTTGGGAAGCAGGAGAAGAGAGATTGAAGTGGCAAAAAAGATTCCTCCGATTACCTTCTGTATTCTACTGATGTCATCCCTATACTGTTGTACATCCCATCAGTGTGTCCAGTAATATCCTGTATGCAGAATGAGTGCAATTGACATAAAAGATGTATAGGCCTAAACATGTTATGACACAAACAACAGAAATAAAAAAAAAAAGTTTTATAACTGTCTGACATGATCGAACAACTCTTATTCTGTACATCGAGGGAAATCACCCATAAACTGTGTGGATAATAATATATTAAATAATATTAATTTCAAACTTCAACGTACATAGAAATGTGTCTGAAATAATTTCGTTGAATTTGACCAAGATTAAGCCAGTAAGGTCATTGAATACAAAATGGATTCTGATTCTAATTGGCATGTCAAATTATATTTTGTTATCTTTTTTAGTTTTTTTTCTTTTTTTAAATCAGATACATTTAAATTGCATTTCAAAAGGTTTAACTGTTGAGATTGTTCAGGCTCTTCTTAATAAATAATATATTTTGAATTCAATCAAATAATATCACTTTTGTGCATAAAGGTGAAATTCAGATATTTTTCAAAATTTGAAATTCACAAAATGAGAATTCATAAGTTTATTTGAAAACAAAATACTTTATATTACATTTTATATTTTTTCTGATTGGTGTGGGTATAATTAAGTGGCCTGTAGCTTCTAAAATATCTGAGAAGGGAAAAAGAACACAGATAGCAAAAAATCTAAAATGTTGTCTTATTAGAGTAACAACTAACTGATTTGTTGCATTTGACAAAATGCCTTTACTATCATAGTGAACATGTATATTAGGCAGTTAAAATACAAAAATCAAAGAAATGTCTTAAGGAAATTGGTAAGTTAGCAGAAGGCACACTGAGTTTGAATTTTTGCAAACCTGAGACTTCTGATTCACACAGTATTTGTTATATTACATTGTGTTTTATTCTCACACCTCAGCATGGACATTTGTAGGTTTGAACTTTTAAGTGGCCTCAATTAGATTTCATTCTAAAGGAATTTATACAAAAAAATGTGCAAAAGCTTTGTTTCCTCAAGATCACCTTGGGGTGAAACTCCAAGAAATGGTGAGATCGAGATTATGTGCATATCGATAAGACCAAAAATATCTGCTTAACTGTTAAACAGGGTGTATTTGAGTAAATATATCTGCATTACAACCACATATCAACTATTTTAGTGTAAAGTTATTAGAAATTCCAGACAAAAGAGTGTGACACACAGCAGATTAGATATTTTATGTTTTTATTTTACAGAAACATTTCTAGGCATTACACTCAACAACATAACTCATGTAGCATGATGTGACCAGCACACCAGATGATTTTAAACTACAATAAGTATTTTGAATGACGTTAAACCCTGCAAAGGCAGTAAAACATGTTTACCGTTTGTTTTGTCGGTTATGTATCTGTAAACCTTCAGTACATTCAAAAATGTAATGTTACAAATTAGAGAGTGAGCAAAAGGCCTCGGCTACACTGACGTACTACACACACACACACACACACACACACACACACACACACACACACACACACACACACACACACACACACACACACACACACACACACACACACACACACACACACACACACACACACACACACACACACACACACACACACACACACACACACACCACACACACACACACACACACACACACACACACACACACACACACACACACACACACACACACACACACACACACACACACACACACAGTGTTTTAAGATGAAAGTGCTCAGCTCAATGAATGTGGATGAGGGCCTTGTCACATCAGCATTAATTTAAACCAAACACCTGTCAGATTTCCCAGGTGATTTTAAAATATACAATCATCTTGATAACAAGTCACATATTGCCAAAGTAATTTATCAAAAATATTGTCTTTAACCATGAATGACTAAATGAGACTGCTTTTTCAACGTTTTATTTTTTCTCCTGAAAAACAAATATTTATTTAAATAAGGCCTGGTTGCAAAGGCTGATATTTGTAATGGCAGTTCTGAAAATAAGATATATATGCTGTTCTCAATTACAATAGATTCCTGGTATTTTTTAACAATATTCAATTGAATGTATTTGGGCTAGGTCACATCATTGGAGGTTTCTTACATGAATAGATGGAGCCGTCTTTGGAATGCTGCCCCGGGTCCCATATGTTGTTGCGGACGTCCAGGGGAAATCAGCACCGGGCACCGCAGGGTGGAAACCGTCCCATCCAGCACTGACCTCGGCAGAAAAGGAACAGAAGAGATGTAAGCACTTTCTACATTGCAAGCCGCTACAGTGAATACATATCCATTTATAACATTGATGACATTTTTTGGAAAAACATTCCTAATTTGATTTCATTGTTGCCTAAAAGACCCAGCTGAGTTGGGCAGGTGCAAAATCAGGTGACTCAATGACCCGTTGGTTTGAAATGAAGAAGCCCAGGGATGGTATAATGGACACACTAAAACAAACACACTCACACAAACCTTGAAAAACAGATTTAATACGCAGTCCAAATGGTTGTTACCACAACCAATACAAGTTAACTGTACAAATAAACACATTTGAAGCCTGATCAAATACAAGCAAACAAAAAAAACGTTAACATTATTATTTGAATTTGTTTTAAAAGACTATATATTTTTTCACGTTACATTTTTATTCTGTCTCAGGATATTAGATTTTTTTTTAAATAATTAGCAAAGTCTATAGGTGGGTGAACACAATAAGAAAATTAAATGAGGGTTTCCCCTTCAATAAAATGGTATCTGGAATATACTGTTGTACAATTTAACCAATATTAATAATTTAGAGTCAATTAAGGATTTATATATAGACATTTTATGTTAACCTTTCATTTATTTCTTTAAAGTTCAGTGACATTTAGCATTTTGATTATCAAGGCAACATGTATTATGCAGTGTGAAGCAAATTTGGTTTAGTAAAAGTAACCTCGGGAAGATTGCTATAAGATGCTTTTTCTCAAAGGAAGAGGATGTTTTATGACATCATCCCTCGAGCAAAAACATTTTGAGAAAACGAAAAATCCGCAGACACTTGTATGATTGGTATGTTGAATATTGAAAAATGTTTGTGTTTTTGGGTATAGAATTAGGTCACCAAATAATATTTTAATTTATTTCTAAAACGAGCCTTTTTTTTCAGCAGCCTTCCTCTGTTTCACTACAAGTCCACTTTAGTTTCCAGTCCCGTGTGAAGGGTAAAGGCCTCGACGGACGAGGTGAGGGACACCTTTCCGATTTTACTTTCTGCCCTAACCTCTCAGTTAGTAGTTAGGGGCGGCGGCTGGCGGAGGATTTGATGGCGTTCTTCGGTGCCAAGGCGCTAAATGTCTAAGCACCAGTAAAGCCAGAGACCAGTAAACCCACCATCACCAACCCCGGTGCCAGCTGCGCCACGTGGCAGCCAGGCGGCCCCTGCCAAAGTGGCCCTTGTGGGAGGGACCCAGTATTTCTTTCCTAATTCACTCAGCATCTGTTCATTATTCTCCTCCGCTGAGTGTCCACGCGCGGCCCCGGAATAAAAGAGACCTTTTCCCTTCCGGTCACGCACTTTCGCACGAGACTGCATAGAGCGATGATGAAACAGATCGGATGTTTTACTGTGTTAAAATGCGTTTTTTTCTTTAAATCGTGCAAGTCAATACTGCAGCAGACTTCTAAACTACGCGTGACTTTTAACCCGTTAAACTCATGGGTCGAGCCTTACTTAAAATTCTAAATCGGAAAAATAAAATAAATAAAAACAGATAATCAGTTTCACGTTTGTTACTTTTGTCCTTATTAATGCATGAAATAGACGACTTTAATATATAAAATGAATGAACCCGTGTTAACCCCATCAGACCTGTTTGGAACTCGGGTTTAACGAATTATCATATTATTGCCTTATTATGAAATATGATATTTTTCGGAGTTTAATGCACACCTGCCACGTGGGCGGACATCACCCTAATGTGACGGTTAATCTAAATATCTCGGACAAATTTGGCTTGACTGACGAAACTAAAGTCCATAAAATCAATTAATTGGGATCCTATTCAAGCGTAATTGTTGGAATGAATGTTTATAAAATACCATGCAATTACTGTAATTATATAATCCCACACAGATCTCCAGTTAACTGCTTTAAATGTGATCAACTGATCCGCTAAAATCGCAGCAGGAAACCCAGCACAAAGTATAGGCCCAGGCCCCACTGCACATAAATCTCCATCTGGAGAGTTTTACTCAATTTATCAGATTAGGTCAACATTTATCGGATTAATTATTTTGGGATTAATCTAGAAAAAATATTTCATGGGACTAATCAGTGATACAATCATTACATAGAGCGTTCTGTTGTGTGGTTAGAGGACAGTGACATGAGGTGGGAACAAGAAATAAACCAAGCTAAAAAACAACAATTTGAATATTAAAATATGAGTGACAAATTCCCAGCAGTGTGTGTGTGACAGGACAAAGCTATGATGTATGTAACATGTTTTATATGTCACACACTCCCCTTTTCCTCCCCATAACACCAGTTGAAAAGAGGGCACCAAAAACAAAAACCACCACTTAGATGAGCTTGTCTGGGTGCAGATGAGGCTAAATTTGGGAGTCACCTCAACCATGGGAATTGGGTGCCACTGCATCATGCTCACCCACCCTGCCCTGCACTCTCCCACCATCATCACCCCCCTGCCAGCCTGAGCGCCACGCCCCAGCTCTGTGAAGAGAAATTAGGCGAAATTCCCCTGCATCTGTGAAACAATGGTTGTGTGTGTGATGGTAAACTCCCTGAACTGTCTTTGTGTGTTAAAGGAGGAGAAAAACATACAGAAGGTGTGAAAATATCCGACCTCTCCGTGTTGTTTTTGGACACACACACACTCTCAAACAAAATAAAACCACTTGCTCACAAGTATAAAAGCACACATGAGTTAGGATTTGCTGTGTTTGAAGTGTGTGTTTGCCCCAAGTGTGTGTGCAGTGTACAGTCTGTGTTGTGCATGGTATGGGTATAGAGGTTGTTGTCACTCTGCACAGATGGTGAGTGTTTTTTATTTATTTTTTGTTGGGGGGGAGGGGGGGGGGGAGTGTGAGGAAATGAAGAGGGGTGAGGCAGAGGAAAAGGGAGAGGAGAGGAGGAGGG